TTGGAAAGGAAAGGTACCGTTTTTTATATAATTTGGCGGTTATGGTGCGACTTGTGAAAATCAAGTAGTACCCAAAGCACTTAGAAAACACAATTCCTATATAACATATTTTTCCTAGCAATATAATTTAGTAGAAATTCCTAATATAATTTCCTATAAAAAAAGTTTTAGACCAAATATTAAACAAATTTTTTTAAGGATCTAAACACATAAGTTCTGTTTATCAAGAATTAGTAACAGTATCAAGAATTTTATGCTATAATTAGTATATTTTATTAGTATTAAAGTTATATTTATTAGTATTAAATTATTACTCTTATCTTCTAATTACATATAAGTGACCATTTAACTGAAATTACTAATGACTGAATGGAATTCAATCATAAAAATTTAAATATTATTTGTCATTTAAATTACATGTTATGGTAAATATTTAATATAAAAGATCTTATATAATTTATTAAAATTATCTCATATATTACAAAAAAGAATTTCTCTGAAGAATAATTTTATTCAAAGGTTTTCGCTTCTGGAAATGCATAATTTCAAATGAATGTTTACAGTGCCATTGACATTTAGATTTACGGAAGTCAAGTTATTTCAGTTAACCAAAATAATAAAAATGTACATTATTTTAAAAAAACAAACACAGCACACTTAAAATAGAATAGTATTTTTTAATTGCTTGACAGCAAACTTGCACAGTCAACAATAATTATCTCCAATAGAATACAGTAAAAAATATTTTTATACATATTTTCTAAATTAAAAATATATTCTTCTGTTAAATATACAAGAACACTTTATATCACTGTACACAAATTGTGTATAATACATGAAGGCAAACTAAAACGAACTCTGATATGTGTGAATGTTACATGATATTTGTACATAAAACACAGAAATATGAAAACTGAGTATGTAGACATTAAATATTTCTGACACAATCAATTTTAAGCACCACAATATTAAAGCTTAATTAAAATTTAATCAAAACTTATTCATAATAAGTATACAGAAATCTTGATTTAATGAACCAAGAGCCAACCAGAAAGCATATGTAAACATTTTACAAGATAATAGCACTTAACAAATGTTTAAAAGCCTCAAGTTAAGACTTAAAAATCACAATTTAGTCAAGAAATAATTTTCTTCCCAAACTATTTAAAATGCTTTTCCATCAGAAAATATTTCAATACACTAAGAATCTAAAACACAAATACAACACCGAAATTTTAATAATTAAGAAATTTTGAATTATATTTAAATGAATCTTCCTATAACAAAGTCAATTTCAGAGAAGAGGCAGAAATGAAGTTTATTCTTACATTTCCCCCCTTAAATGCAATACTTTTGCTAATTTTCATAAAAAACAATTTAAAAATTCTTTTTCTTTTTTTTTTTAAGGAAAACAAGGAAAAAGCTTGAAACTTAATATCATACTTATGCTAAACTGGAAATTATATTGTCCTCTGAAAATAAGTTACCTAACCAATGAACAAAATTGTACAAAATTTATTCGCAAGCTCAATATGCTACCCAAATTTCAGATGACGCAATTTTAGTTTTTATAGCCAAATAACAAACTTGTTTGAATCTGCATGAAATTTCAACTGGAATAGCTCACTGTGATGGATCCATTTAGTTAGAGAGAAAAAAATAATTTAAACTGCAGATGCAACAATGAACATGAAGCCTCATACTTCTCCAGATGGGAATTCAAAATCTCTGAATATGTTCAGTTAATTTTGATTAACAACAGATAGCCCATAATTTTTTAAGAGTTATATTAACATGAAATTGCAGAATCTAGAATCCTTATTTAATAAAATGAAAACAGGGTCCTTTATTTTTTAAAAGAATTAATTCAGTTGGCTATTAATATATGCATAGTAAGCCACATGTCTGTAACTCAGATGCATATGTTTAGAAACTGTTGTCACAACTAAATATTTAAATATGCAGTATATTAATTATTACATTTGTAAATTTCTTTTTAATTTAAAAAAAGTCTGATTTCATAAAATCCAAAAACTCTCATTGGGAAAGTTCTTTGGATATAAAATTATTCTTTGACTTAAAAACAGCTACATAATAATAATTACAATAACATGAGAGTCATCAGATTTTCTTCTGATGCTAATTATAAACTGAATATGTAGATGGAATGTGTAATAAATTCACATTAAAACTACTGCAAATATTAATTAAAAAAATATCACAATTTGCAATACGTTTAACTGTAATAACAGAAGAAAATATTTTATCATACAAAATAATAACCACAGGAATATGTTATAAAGTTAAACACAAAATACATAGAAAAAATACATACACCAAATATTCACTGTACTGAAATAACAATGCAAGTAATGATTATTGGAGTAGCTAAGGCAACAAGAACCAGCATAATATTTATAAATTTATAGGTTTAAACATATATTTTGCACTTCGGCATCTGAAAAAGATAATTCTACACTTAAAACCTCCAAAACTAGTCCAGCTAATTAATAAATATTACACTGATATTTACTGCCTTAGCACATCCATTAATCCTTATACTGTTTAATCATAAAAAAATCCTATATTCAGCACTTGTGAATATAAAATTACTAAAACTAAGACAAAACACTTGCTTTCATTATCAAAATAGGGAAATAGCACATTATATAAATACTAAAACAAAAATGGAATGTTTCTAGTTTAGTGTAACTCTATTCAATTATGTGTTACCAGTAAAGTAAAAAATCTAAAGTTGAATATACTACCCAAATTTTAAACACAACAATTTCTTTTCATTGAGATTCACTTATGCAACAATTTCATAATTAATTCATAACACATCTAAACTGGAATAATATTTCCACCGAGAAAGTTATAATCATAAAAATCAACAAAATTCATCAAAGTGTAAAAGTAATATACAAATATAATTTTTAAAATATATTATAAAAAATTCACACAAAATACCTTTGAAGTGCAAAAATAAATTTTAATGTAGTATAAGCATACCTCTCAGACTCAACTCATTTCAATCTTTAATTATCATTTCATTATTTGTAAGTGTCATATATATTTAAAACTATCATTATACATTTAAAAGTGATATATACACATTATCATTATATACATATAACAATGATTATCACTGGCATAATGCAAAAAAGATTGAGCTGAAATCTATATTGTTATTGCCTAATACATCATTACTTACAAAAACAACTATTTTAGTCACAATTGATGAAAATATGTAATTCACTTTGAAAACTGCATACTACTTACAGACTCATCCAAAAATAAATATACTCTAAGCTTAGATGTTATTTCTTACTTTATCACCAAATACATATTTGCATTTACACTGAATTCGTTAAATTCTGCTGCTGCTTTGAAGGACACTTTTTCTCATGGTTTAATGTTATTAGAATAACCATGGACAAACTATTTTAGTCACAATTGATGAAAATATGTAATGCACTTTGAAAACTGCATACTACTTACAGACTCATCCAAAAATAAATATACTCTAAGCTTAGACATTATTTCTTACTTTATCACCAAGTACATATAATAATTGCTTAACTAGATTCATCACCCTTATGCAGGAAAGTGCCACTTTCGCATCGCAATACAATATAATTATCATTCTATACATATAAATGATAATCCTGCTTTTATTATAAAAATATCTTAATAGCATTACAATTAGAATGTTAGAAATCATAATAACAATAACAAACAACATTTTGTATGAACAGATGGATTGCATTTGTATAAATGGAGAGATTGTATTATGTAGTATTTGGACAGATTTTTATCAAACTTTCATACTTTTTAATATGATTATTCAACTAATATATAAATTAATAGATCTTACCAAAAGCTAAAAGCCAATAGATAAATGCAAGAAAAACAATTAATAACTTCAGTGTGTGAGACACTTAAATTGCACGAAAAATACACAATTGTCATATTTTAATTATACACAAACATTCAACAACACATTACAAAAAAAACTTGAAAATATTTTTTAACTTTAATTTCCAATATAAAATCCTTTTCAGCTGTCCTACAATAAAGTTAGTAGAATACGTAATACTAATGAAATAAACACAACAATTCACCTAGAATGATGATGCAAAATAAAAATAAGATTGCAACCCCTCTAAAAAAAGGGAAAGAAAAGAAAAAGTAAAAAAATGAAAACAATATCAACAGTTTTAATATTATTAAGTTCATCCATATAATACACAACAAAATGTGCATAAATATAAAATGTAAAAATAATTTTGATTAATAATTATATATTCTTAATTAGTATGCATATTATTACCAAGAATTACTGCTGGCAGGTATTATAACTTTAACATGGAAAATCATGAATGTGTCATTAAAATATGAAGTTTTTAATAAAATATCTTTAAAAAAAAGATGATGAAAAAATTAAACTGAAAATCATGAATGTGTCATTAAAATATGAAGTTTTAATAAAATATCTTTAAAAAAAAGATGAAAAAATGAAACTGAAAGGACAATGAAAACAGAAAACAATTTATAAATAATTTACAAAAAATTTTCTTACTTAGCAACTAATATAAATTTAATACACATATTCATCAATGTACATTAAAAAAAAAGAGATTCACCAGGATAAATTTAAAAAATAATAATAAAAAGAGAGAGATGCTGCAAGAGATTCACCAGTATAAATTTAAAACATATCTAAATGCATCACCTCATTTTTACTCATTATTAGATATTTTTAAAATTGAAACATTAAAAAAAAATACAAAAATTATAACAGCTATTAAAATTGCATTTAATTATATAATTATGTTCATTGTTTTGATCATAATAAATATTTTTAATGTAGCAGATTAAATAGAAATTTTCAATGATGGAACATTTCAAGATGACAGCTAAAAAAATATCAAAATATACAATTCCAGTGAAATGCGTTGCATGGTTAACATCATTTCCCAAAACAACATATAGTTTTGGTAAAATGAGCTGAAGGCAGAATAATCCAAGAACCATGCTGTCACTTTGGCCTTGTAACTGCAACTACTAGTGACTGTTCCTTGAAATTCTGAAAAATATTTTAATTTAAAAATCAAGTTAAAAAACATAACTGATATTTGATAAATAAGCATATTTTAACTTTCAAGTAAAGCATTTTTTATGAAAAAATTTCCAATTTCGTTCATTAGAACACTACTAAAAGTGTTTTTAATTAAAAGTGCATATAAACAGTTAAAAACTTTTAAAAAATGAGAAAAATATTTAAATGCTATGATACAATCAAGAATCACGTTAATTTGAGATATAGTCAAGTCAATAAAGAATCCTATAACTCTTAAATAAGGATAGTCATTAAAATTCCTGTCGGTATTCAAAAATAGATATTTACATTTGTTCAATAAACAAATAAGATTTTTGAAAATGGTATCAGATATATTAATGCTACAGTACCTGATGTGTTCATGACTATTATTATCATTCGAGTATTATTGTTGAACTCTCCAAATTCTGCCCGTTTGTATACAAAAACATGGAAAATATATTAGTTATTGTGATCAACGATTTGGTTTTTATTATCAAAGAATTACAGAATAATTTTTTAACTGAATAAAGTTGCCAAATAAAGTCAGAATAGATTATACAAATTGTTAAATGTCAGAAAACAAATGTCACCAAATTAGGGATTAAGTTTCCAAAAGGCTTGTCTATGATTTTAATCAATCATTAATATTAGGCAAAAAAAAAAAAAAAATCCTTAGTTTCGCATTAATTTTGAATTAACTCTATCAATTTCGAGAATGATCAGACACAGGTCCTTCTTGTTCAGGTTTTTTAAAAAAAATCTATAAAATATTTTTACCTTGCTCCTAAGGAGAAAAATCCATGGAAACATTTACACTAAACTTAGCAAAAGCTAAAATGTACCTAGTTTTACATAAATTTAAATTTTGCATTCGCATTTCTGATCTGGTGAGTGACGGATGCTCTCCGAGCATGAAGATTAGGGGTACAGCATCGGTCAAATAATTTCCAGAAATGTTATGAACATTCATAAACCAATGTTTACATTTCTCTAATTAAAATTCTGTGGCAGTACTCAGTTAAGTATTCCTTGTTACATTTATAGTTTAATTCTGCTGATGCTTTGAAGGACACTTTTTCTCATTGTTTAATGTTACTAGAATAACCATGGATAAACAAGATCACATTAATCTGCTCCTACTGAAAAAAACTTTATTATAATTCATTCCAAAAGAATGTGTCAAGATGTTAACATCTTCAAATTAATTAACAAAAAGAAAAATATCAACAGTGTGAAGAAGCTGAAAATGCTAGAATGGGAAGGCAAAGAGATTTCTCCACAAATTCAAATAACAATACAAAGTAATAAAAAGTACAATATGATCTAACAGAAGTTACGACAAACATGGTAGTTTCTAGTAATATTTACCAGGAAATAATATCAAACTGCAAATAAGGTTTTAAAATCAGAACACCTACTTACTACAGGTTGAAATCTCCACCTTATGGAGGTTATATTTTTGAAGATTAATTACTTAATTGACTTAATTCTTTGAGAAAAAATGAAGAGGGCAGAAAACCTTCAATTCTTAGAAATGAGAGTACAGATATCTGCTTATTTTAATTTAGTTGAATCTTTAATTGCTCTAAATAATCAAAATCTAAAACAAAGGTAACATAGATTATAAAATTTGCTTCCAAGGTTTGGTGACATATCCCTGGAAATTTCTCTATATATTCCATACAAGGAATGAATAAGGAAATTCATATGTATTCCTTACAACATTTCTGCTGATGAGAATTCATTGCTAATAATTTAAATACACCATCAGTCATTAGTAATATGTGACTATTGCGATATGAATATTCAGAATATAGATAATGATATACTTTGATGAACAGAAATTGATAGATAGTTTGATGATGATTTAGTAGTTAAATCTGATAGATTTGACAGTTAGTTAATAGCATTTAATACTTAAATTAAAAATATCAGAATACTCATCTAACATATTGTTCCGATTTTAAATGCACTAATCCACAGTATCTAGCCTAAAGTATCGTTACATTGCAACACAATTATGCACTATGTTCAACTCCTTATCAGCTTTTTGTTCTCAAAACTGATAAATCAATTAATAAAAATGTTTTTAAAAGTATAATTCTCTAGCATTTAAACTTTTTGGGAAAATGTGTAAATTGCAACATGATTTATGTTCATATGTTCTGGTAAGTAACTAACGGAGATTTGCTACCTGATGAATGTTATCAGTACGCCAAACATAATATTTAAATTCTTATACTTAATCAAAAAAAATATACATTATAATATTCTTAATGGCTTTCACAGGGTTGCCACTCAAACAGGAGAATGAAATTCCCTGACTTTTCCAGGTTTTCCAGGTGTGTTTCAAGAAAATTCCAGTCTATCCGCGTAATGTACGTTGGCTGTGCTAAGAGGTAAATTAATTATGATATTACTTGTATTGTGTAGCAAATTCACTAATTATTAATAAATCCCAGAGGACATTATTTAATTATTCTTGGTATACTTGTTTGATAATTTTGTTTAGTTTCCACTTAAGAAACTTAATAAAATTAAGATATATATATTGGATAACAAATGTATGTTTTATTTAATTATTACTCATGTCATCACCAGTTCAACACGAGGCTAATCCGGTCCTTATAAATCACAACACAATGCTAAATAGTTAGGTTAGATTTTTGGTAAATTTAATTTGCTGAGGTATGTTTTAAAAGGCACCTTAACACTTGAAAACACAATATAATTATAATAGTTGTTGTTTTCTCCACTGAAGATTGAAATTAGAAGAATCTTCCCAATCTGGAATAAAATAAGGCTTTTTTTTTTTTTTTTTTTTTTTTTTTGTTTTTTTTTTTTTTTTTTTTCGTTGCAGACATTCTGCAGCTAAACGAAAGAAAGAAATCTATTTTAATAAACTGAAGTTTTATATTTATTTCGCGCAGCATACATACGGAAAAATATGTGCATTAAATTTCGTGATGGTTATCATAACTGCTATAATTAATTCAGGATTATGCCAGAGAAAATTTCCTGAAATTTGGAAATATTATTTACTAATAATAAATAAATTTAGAGAAGAAGCAACATTAAATTATATGAATCACATAAAAATATTACTTAAAAATTGGAATTAGAATAATCAACGATATTTTAGCGAATATAGTTATATTACATGGAGCCTAGATGACTGATTACTATTTTTTTTTTATTTTACTGCAAAAGGCAAGGTATTATTAAAAAGAAAAAAAAGGTTTAAAAAGATTTGCGTAAAATTCTAGTACGGTAAGGCTTTGGCACGATTTTGAAAAATTGTCGCCAAGACCAAAATGACCCGTTTACTGCGCATCAAGATGTCGCCAAATCCCATTATTATTCTAACCAAACAACGTCTATGTAAAGAAGGAAAGGTTCCATACAAGTAAAATGCTATTACGCCGCTAGAATGCGGAGGGAAAATTTGCCAAGGGATTTGGCGACAGAACCTGGCGGCCAGAATTTCCCTCTCCGCGATGTATACAGGAAATTGAGAAACACGTGTTAAGAAGAAACGCTTTTTGACAAAAAGAAAACTACGAAAATCCGTTTTTAAATTATTGAAAATTCCAAGAAGAAACGTTTATCAAAGGACGTTTCTTCTTGGATTTTTCGCAATAATTTTAAAAACGGATTTTCGTAGTTTTTTTTTCCCTGAAAATAACTAATCCATGAATTAATGCTATTAAGTCAGCTGAAAGCCTTTCAGTTGACTTAATAGCAATAATATATGAAGAAAATAAAAGAAAAGCTTTTCAAATATAGTTTGAATCTGAATACACGTGTCTTTTCAAAAAAAATCTTCATTTAATAGATTCTAAGCAGATATCCTCTGGAATAGCAAATACAGCAATTTTCCCTTTTTTTGAAGTTTGTATAGTTCTCAGTTGACATACACTTGTACAAGCTTGGGATAGATAAGTATTTAACAGGTGTAATTTTAGAACACATAAAAGTTCAAATACATAATTTTTTAAGAAATAGCTGATATTAAAATTAAAATATGCTTAAAAGAAAAGATAATCAAAGATGCTTAAGAAGAAAAATTATCATTTTTAAACAAAATACTGAGGGCAATCTTTTATTTTGGTAACAGAATATTTTATTTTTGCATTAGGATTTTATTAAATTGATGGAGCAAAACATAAATTAACATGAAATTTACAAAATGGAAAAATAACTATATTTTCAATCAAAATATAATAACCACTCTGAATAATATAAAAAGTTTTCTCAGAACACAAAAATATTAGTTTTGTATTTACCTTGCAGTAATTTTTTTTTTAATTATTCTTATTAGAAGCTGATGATGGAATTTCACTTCGCTTCTTACATACTAGTTTGCAAGTCACATAAAATTAATGTTGCTTAGAAATCCAACATAGTTACAAATGTAGTCCATTGAATAATTCAATGCAGTTGAGGAGATCTCTCATTTTACTCAAGCTTATTCTTCCCTAATACAGTGAAATAAGTTTAACGTGGAAACGCTTAAGACGAAATATTACTATGTGTTTTTTTTTCTTCTTAACATGAAATGGAAAATCGCTTAACATGAAAAGATTTTCCGGTTGATCTTTACATTACGGTAACTGGTAGTTTGGCGACATTTTGGAGGCGATAAAGGTTACTACCTGGGACTTTGGTAATAATGTGAGCAGTACTGAGTTCCGATTACGCATTATTTTGTGTGGGGGGGGGAAATGAGAGATCATGGGATATGTCATGTGATATTAATGGACGAATTACGGTTTCTTTTAATCGGAAAAGGGGGGAAATCGGGAAAAAATCTGGAAATTTGTATTTGGTTTTATTCTGTGTTGTGTGAAATAGTGTTTGTGAATTTTTGGATCCCATGGCCGTAGTAAAAGTGAA